GGGGGGAGTATAGCGTGGAGCAGGGGAGGAGAAGGGCAGCGAGGTATGTGTAGAGAAGGGCCAGCAGGTGAGTGGGCCTTTGCAGTGGGAAGGGGGGGGAGGGGGGTGCAAAAGGTCGTACAGGTGTTGGAAATGGCTTCCTTATGCTTCATACCTGCAATGCAACAAGTATGTTGGCGAGCGCGTGGCCGTAAGTGTCATGCATATGTACCGCAACGCGCTCCACAGGAATCACATCCAAGACAGCTTCCAACACCTTTGAGATTGTTCCTTCAAAACGAGGACGCGAAGGGTTTCCGTAAGATTCCATCAATTAGGTGAAAAAAATACAAAAGGGGTAACTACTAACTACCGTGCAGTCACAATGTCAGTTTAAACTTTAAAATCCACTTTGAGCATCCCTCGAAAAAGAACAGAGCTTGAGTCTTGAGATTGTTCCTAAAACATGCCTTAAGTTCAATTACAAGTACCTTAGTATGATTGGTTACAATTCGATCAATACGTCAGCAGACAAGAGCTCTCAGGGTTTCAACAAACTCGGACCTTTTTCGACTGATCTCTGCACGTAATCCCAGTCAGATACATCATGGGCAGGCTGCAATCGCGGTCCGATGCATCCAAGAAACTCGTAGTGTAAGCAGTACTAAGCAGTACTGAGCAGTACTGAGCAGTACTGAGCAGTACTGAGCAGTACTGAGCAGTACTAAGCAGTGAGAGTCGCAGTGCTAAGCAGTACTAAGCAGTACTGAGCAGTGAGGGTCGCAGTGCTAAGCAATACTAAGCAGTACTAAGCAGTGAGAGTCGCAGTGCTAAGCAGTGAGAGTTGCAGTGCTAAGCAGTGAGAGTCGCAGCGCTAAGCAGTGAGAGTCGCAGTGCTAAGCAGTACTAGGCAGTGAGAGTGGCAGTGCTAAGCAGTGAGAGTAGCAGTGCTAAGCAGTGACAGTGGCAGTGTGAAGCAGTGATAGTCGCAGTACTGAGCAGTGAGCAACACCAGCACTACCATCTTCCCCGGAACATAACGCACCCTGATTCTGAATGTATACAAGCCATCTTTCCGGTTGGATGCAGCCATAATGAGGGTGAATTGTGTTCAGGGGAAGAAGGTTGGAATTCTGCGGCTGTCACAATTTGTTGTGAAACAAATGAAGAAAATAGCGGACAACACGAAGCACACTGAAACCACTCCTTTTTGCCTCTTGCTGTGCAGCTGAAATTTATTGTTCTACGTGTTTGCCTTCATTAAAAAAAAATCCTTACATGCATCCCATCCCATCCATGGATTCATGCAGTTTTGTTCGATACCCTCCCCCTCCCCCACCCCAAAAGAAAGGCCAAAAAAAAGTGATTTGCAAATTATCTCCTCCTTTCAGGGATTCATCAAGCAATCTTGCCAATGAGCCAAACGGAAAGCCGGGAAAAAAAAAAGGCCAAAAAACTTCAAAAAAGCGGCGCTAACCTGGCGTTCCAACACCAATGGTGTCTCCCAGCGAAACCTCATAACATCCCATGTCGTACAGCGCTTTGGCGACACGTGCGACTTGCTGCGGCTTCACTGGCCCATCGACAGGACAACCAGCAATGCAGGAAACGTACCTGGAGGAGACCACAGTCCAAAAACATTCAGATATAAAACATAAAACCGACGAAGAGTACCGTTTTTTTCATCGCTAAAGTTGGCGAAAAGACAAAGAAAAAGAAAAGCACACTGAAGGAAGGACCGCTTTGTAGAAGTTCGGTTCGTAACTTTGCAGTCCATTAACATAATAATAATTTAATAAATAACATCCTTGTGGAGACGGTATCTGCATCGTTTTCATGCGTTAACGCGGAGGCTGAATTGGAGTGCGATAGGGGTCCATATGCATTTGCGTCAGAGGGGGCCTAAGACTAAGACCCCCTGGGGTACTGGTGGTTTAAACCGCCAGTACATGGGCCCAGCCTTGATGGAGAATGGTTCATCACCTTCTCCGAAAGAGTCGGCGCGCTGGCACACCATCGATAAAACAAATCGGCGGCCGGCGACGCGTTTCGGCCACGGAAACGTGCACGCGGCTGCCGATATGTGGCATGTACTAGCGATTTAAAGCCAGGACCGGAAGTCGCACCGATCCAGACGTCTGTATTTTGGTCCGCTCTCACCTGCCCAATTCAAACCACCACTATCATTTGCAGTTATAGTTCCATTTGGGAAATGACCTCATCCGAAAAAATCGCCGCCAGGCGGCTGCTGATATCTTTCATCGGTGCCTACCGGCCTCTGAAACAAGTGGGACCCATCCCGCGGCCGACATATGAGAAAGGTAGTCGCAGTCTAAAGGTAAAACAAGTCCTTATGGTCCTGACTCCATACTGGCAAATAAAACAACAACAACAACAACAACAACAACAACAACAACAACAACAACAACAAAGCCTGCACTTACTTATCCTCCCAACGTACTTCCTTCCTGCTTCTATTGCCCCCCCTTACAGACAAGCCCCTGCGCAAGGATGACACACAGAAATCGGGAAATGGTCCATTTTTTTATTTTCTATTTTTTTTCTACAGATAAAACAGGCCCTTGAATGGACTTGTGTGACACTGGCAGATAATTACTGCAGCGGCAGTGCAGCCTCGCGTTTTTCTTTTTGTTTTTTTTTAGTAGAAAAGGTTGTGTGGAGACTCGAAGTATGGACAGAGCCTTGAACGGACAGCAGAGACGCAGCCCATGCACCACCCAGGCACAGAAAGGAGGGCATCAGACCGAACCGGAAGACCGCTTAAGATACCCAGGCACCAAGCGAACCCACCCCCCGAACAATATGTGCACCATGAGAGAGCCATCACACCATCATCACATAGATCACCCCTACATACTGCAATCAGACTCGTTTTCAAACACACTTTTCATGCTTGTAAACAGCAACGCAGCATACTGGCGACATGCGCCCACTCAAAACTCAGAGATATGGCTTTCAGATACGAGTTCACTCTCAATTGGCTATGGCGACTTCAGCGCCCAAACATCTCACTGTTCACATACACTGGATCACCCTGGATATCCCACACGCATCACTCTTAACACTCGAGCACACACACACACTCACTACTAACTATAGCTATGGCAGCTATGGCTGCCTCTAACCTATCGCTATGCTAACTCCTCCTCTCTTGCCCACTGCGTCCTCCGGGCTCATCTGCAGACCTCCTTGCACAAATCGCTGTGGCAGCGCTTCCACATGGCTCACGCAGGAATGAATGAATGGCTGGGCGCTGCCTCTTGATTTATACTTCAGAAATTCGTCGGTCTGCCCTTTGCCATCGGCCCTTGGTGCTCACAGTCCCCCTGTGGTACTTGCTGGACTGGACTGGGACTCTCTAGACCCTTCTGCTGACTGTAGGCAGTGGTACCGTCGACTCAGTGCAGTTGCACTGAGGTCCTACCTGTTGACCTTGCCACTTGTCTTCGTCTGAAAAACGTGGGCCTACCATAGACTCACCACTTGACCACTTGCCGACCTTCTAGAAGGACTAAAGCTAGGCCTCTGGACTCTACTTGGACTCCTACCTTACAGGTCTACAGTTCGAATCTCCCTATAGCCTACAACCTACGGCGACCTACTTACCACTGGCTATCGTGCAGGTCACGGGTTCAACTCCAGGGAACTGTGCAGATACTGTACACAGGTAAGCTGAGGTCAAGGGATCGACCCCAGGGATCTGCATCGGCTACTGCCAAAGGTGAAAACTGTTTCAATACTGACTGAAACCCCCGACTCGGGCAGAACAGTACAAAGACAGAATCAGAACACCCATACAACAGCCCACTACACAACCAGTGGGACCGTCCCCCCAAGGGGTATCCGGCCCTAAGATGCAACTGTGTCGGGGGTCCAATTGAGAGGGACCTTGCAAGAGTAGGCGCCAGTTCAAGGAGGCCATTTAGCCTACTTGCAGCACGCGCCACAAGTTGCTCACCTGAGGTGGGCCGGCTCTCAAACCCGCAACCTGCATTTTCACAATGCAGGTACCCAAAACAACCGGCCTCCGAGCAGTCGCTAGATGCGAATGGCCACTACGTTGGTCGACGCCCCCCAGTGTACTCTGCGCGAAGGCAGCGGAGTTTTGAACCCGCAACCTCAGACCACAATGCGCATTTCCAACCGGTGCCCTGACCACTACCGTCTTCACCCGAATGGAACGCCTGGTCATTATCGCCGCATCTGGACCGAAAGTTGTGCCAAATAGGGCTATAATGACCGGGCGTTCTATTCGGGTGAAGACGGTAGGCAATGTCACGCATGGTGTGTCAGAGTCATGTCGTGTTTGTGCATCGTGTGTCAAAGTGACTCCCTGTCGTGCCGCGATGCGTACGCGACTGCGTGTATCTCCTCATTTTTCTGCTCTCTTATGGTCATGGCTCCATATCCACTCTGGGGGAAAGGAAAAAAAAAAAGAAGAAGAAAAAAAAAACAAAACAAAGGCTGCAGTTACTTACCCTCTCACCGCAATTCCTGCTTCTATTGCCGCCTTACAGACTTGTTCGTATCGCTCCAGTGACTCGTTGACGCTGCAGTTAATGTTGCGCAAGCTGAATCCTTCTGACGCCGAGGCAAACACCGCTATCTCCTTTGCTCCTGCCGCAATCGCCCTCTCCAATCCCTGTTGAGGTCGAACAACCAAATAGTTATGAGGCACACTCCTTACTTTCTTTTTCTTGTTTTTTTCAATTAATGTCATTTAATGGTCCGATGGACCACGGCTCAGATATTAAACTGATATCAGAACAGATACTACACTTCATCTTACTTATTTTAGCTAAAAGGACAAGAAAGGAGATCTATAGGCACACTCCGTCCTTGTTGCATACTGTAACGGTGCAGACCAGAACAAGAACCGACCTCTCAATACAAAGTATAAGATAGCACAGCGGAAGACTTAGATACCAATGATCCGAACAATCAATATTGCAATGCAGCCCCAAACATACATCATCATCATCATTCCATGGTGTGAAGGGGTCTGGCGCTTCACACAGGAAGACTGAGCCAGCCCCAACCATACACAGACGAAGGAGATGGGGGTTAGACGAAGAAGAGGGGAAGATGGGAATGTCGTCAACACCAAGTGTTCAGCACAGGCCCAAATAGTCCCTCGTCGAAATGTCTGAATCCCAAA